GGCTTTAGGACCGTAGACGCATCTCCCAGCGAACGGTGTCTCCCCCTAAATAAATAAATAAGGGGAGAGATAGAGCCTCCTGACATATTGGGGGGAAGGGAGGGGATGGGGAGAGGAAGGAAGGGGCTGGGAGGGGGAGGGGGAGCCTGACAAAACTAGACAAGTGCACACGTCCGGATTAACGTTTGGCCTCCAAACCAGCCCGGCCAGCAGCAAAGAGAGAAAAAGTACTTCTTTTTTTTTTTTTTTTAATTTTTTTTTTCTTTAAAAAAAAAAAAAAAAGCATCATCTAGCTGGGGGGCTTCGGAAAAGACCGGAGCGGTTTTAACGACAGCAGAAGCCATAGGAGATTTCGGTGAAAACTTTAAACTGAGACAGTCATGGATTTCTTTGCACTTTCCATGTGCCAAAAAATGAAACAAGGGAAGAACTGAAAATAGAATATAAGCAACTAATTAGCAATTAATTAGTTCATGTGCCAACAACGCTATAAAACGTAAAGCACAATAAAAGTGCTAGATATTGTTATTAACTAATGATGAGAAATGTTCGGTTTTAGGGGCGTCTCTTTTCGTATGAATTATTTTAGACATCCAAGACATTAAAATATGCTGTGAACACGATTGCATCTCCCATCACATACAATAAGAAATAAGAAAAAGCCTCTAATTTTTGCTTTTCTTTTTTCTTTTTCTTTTTATAAGCAAAAAGATATTTACCACGGTTCTAGCTGCTGATTAAAAATTGCCCAATGTACTTAGATGACAGTTTTGTTTTGTTTTTGTTGGTTTGGTTTTTGGTTTGGTTTTTTTTTTTTAGTTTAACAGATCAGCTAGAAGATATTTTTTTACAGCTGTTGTTAATTTCCACCGTTGTTTCTTACCGCACTGAAATCCAGTAAATCACTCAGTTCTTTGTCCGTCCCTAAGGCAGCCATTCGCTGTTGGTGATGCATTTTAGCAAAATCACACAAACCTAGAAACATGGAAATAACCGCAATCAGAAACCCAGTCCCGAGCCTTGCAGGAAACACAATCGGATTTTTTTTCAGGGGGGTGGGGGTCGGGGGGGGAGGGTGTGGGTTGTTGAGAAGAAGGGAGGGAAAAAAGATGGAGGGGCAGCAAAAACAACAACAACCAAAAAAAAAGAGAAAAAAAAAAAAAGGCAAAAAGCGATATTGTATTTCCAAAGAGGCGATCGAAACCCGGTAACATCCACTCTAAACCCAAATCCGGAGAAGACAAAAAAAGAAAAAGCCTCGCTGCCGGAGCATCATTTATGCAACAGGAGGTTCAGCGAGGAATGAATGAGGATCCCAGAGAAGAAACTACAGCCATCCGCTCCCAACTTTTTCCCTTCTCCTTCTTCCACGCAAAGTAGCGTTTAGAGGCAGAAACGGCAAATAGCGATAACAGCGATGAGGAAAGGGAGAGAGAGGAGAAGAAGAGGGGAGGAAATAAAAAAAAAAAAAAAAAAAAAAAGAGAGATGCAAAGTCGCAGGGTACGGAGGCGCCGGTGCGGAGGGGGTGGGGGGGCCGGGAGGGAAGCAGGGAGCAGCCTTTGCTAATTAGCCCCAATTTCTAATTTGCGGAGAGGAAGAGGGG